GCACCTCTAGTCATATATTTACTGAGAAAAATGTTGACGTGTTCAGTTCTTATTTTACCCGCTGTATAGTATTTCTACATAAGACAGGAGATTACAATCTAGGAACCAAGACAACTGCTGGTGGGCCAAATCAAATGGCTTCGTGGGCCAACTTTGGCCCGCGGGCCCCACTTTGGGCACCTCTGGTTTAGTTGATGTGTTGACTGGTCAGGTGGTAAAATGCTCCATTAATGGATCAGTTCTCCATACAAACATGAATTTTCTGTCAGTGTTTTGCCAAAATTGAGATTTATGCTTGTGTTGATGAACAGGTGGATTATATTCTGTATGGAAGCGTTTGCTGTTTCTTTTCAATATCCCTAATTTTGGGGTGCTGTGTATAAATGTGTTGGATAATTCCACTCTATCCCTCTGTCTCTGCTCCTTCTCCTCAGGTCCAGCTCACCTCCCTTCCACCCCTCCATCGCTTAGTCACTGCATGGATGTGTCATTGTTTCTATGACTTTGGAGGTTCATGCCCACTGAAGCGCAGCGAGATCTCTGTAGGGCCAAAACCCGTACCAAAAAAACAAGATTCTCTCCTTCGCAACCCACCCGTCCCCCCACCTCCACACAACAGATCTTCTTCATTCCTGACGGATGGCGCCACTTCCCACAAGCCCTGTTGCCCCCACCTCCTCGGCCACGGTTGTAAAATCCCAGGATGTATAAATGAGGGACCACGGAGGAGAAGAGGAAGCGAATCGGCCGGGATGAAGATGGAGCTCACCGGGGTCAACTGGGTGGTCGCAGCTGCAGGGTTTCTGCTCATCTGGGCCAGCGCTGGCTCGGCTGCGCCTCTGGAGTGCCACTTCGACTCACGGGGTGAGAAACTTTCTCGTCACACTGCAATTCTTTAAAAAGAGAAACATGTTTTAAAGTTAGGATTGACTGTGTGTGTGTGTGTGTGTGTGTGTGTCGTCCAAGCTGTGTGTGAGTTCCAAGGGAAGCAGTACTCCCTGGGGGACACCTGGATGGACGACGCTTGCATGCAGTGCACCTGTCTGCACCCCGTTGGCGTTGGTTGCTGCGAGACGTGAGTAACACAAACAGTCGGTGCGGTTTGGTGTCCAGATGCCTCTTAGAGCAGAGGTGARGAAATTCATGTGTCAAAATAGGAAAATCTGAGTCGCAGTTGTGCATCAATTCAAGAACAAAAGGCATAAAAATTACCATCAGCTACTAAATTAGTATTGTATTATTGTCAAAACTAAAAAGATATAAGAATATAACAAATTATTGTGTTTATATATATAAAATCAAACCCTTATTCAGGTTAGAAATGTAGCTAAAAATAGCAGAAACTAGTTGAATTTAGCAGACAAATGGTAAAAAGACAGTGAAAAAGCTCACATCAGTAGAAAAACAAAGAAAGTACGAAAACTTGCAATTTGTGATGTAATTGCTAAGAAAAGCTGAAACAAGTTTAAAGGTAAAACATAGCTGAAAAAGCTGAAATYAGCACAAAGAAGCAGATTACTGAATTAAGCTGTAAGAAGCTGAATTATCCAAAAATATGAAGTTGGTATAAAAAAGCCAAAATAAGCTGAAATCAGCAACAAATTGCTTAAAATGCAATCAAGCAAAAAATACAATAAAAGTTAAAATGAGCAAAATAACAGAAAGGAGCAGGACGGCTGAAATAGCAGAATAAAAGTAAAAATAAAAAAAGCAGAAGAAAGCTTAAATTAGCACAAAGCAGCAGAAAGTAGACCAAAAATGTTGAAATAGAATAGCAAAAAGGAGCAGAAAGACAGCTGAAATTGCATAAAAAACTAAAATTAGGGGGGAAAAAAGGCTCAGATCAGCTTAAAGAAGCAGAGCCAGAGTAAAACATAACGTGTAGTAAAATTTTATAAACATTTTGAAAGGTTTTAAGGATGCTGAAGACAGCTCAACTTAGTTTCAATTACAAAAAGAGGCTGAAAAAGCTRAAATACCAAAAATCATAGCACCCAAGATTTTATTGAGCTCACTGTTTTGATATATTTGACATATGAAATGTTGAAAAAGCACAAAAATTGTATTACATACCAAAACATACATGTAAGAAAAAATAATAATCTCAACAGTGTGACTGTTTGATAATGCTCACTAAGCTTTCACAGTTTATATTTCCAATAATCTCTGAAAATAAAAAGAGTGAAAGAGCAAAGAAAGCTCGTCTCTGAAGCTGTTAAAGTGACATAAAGACCATCTCCCTTCCCTGTCTAGAGTGCATCGGCCCGTGGACTTCCCTGCGTGGTGTGAGGTGCGGGTTGAGCCYGTGACCTGCAGAGTGGTTCTGGTCCAGTCGGCCGACACCCGCCTGCCGTGCTCCCCAGGAGAAACGAACAGGGACCCGAGCCACGGATCCCTTCAGCTGCAGCAACAGCTCGAGGGTTAGAGAGTCRCAGCAGTTCAGCCACATGAACAATGCTTCTCCTTATATATAAAATCAACCAGAGTCTGATTCTTGTGTTGTTTTTCACAAAATATGAGCAGTTTCTTTCCTCGTTTGTGTTTTAAATGTTCAAAACATACTTTTAAGTTCTTTAAATAACACTTCTTTCTCTGTTTCATAGCAAATATTACATCATTTGTATTCTTTAARGCTACACAATAAAWTCAGCTTGAAGTGACRGTTCATATTTTCTGAAGTGGGGTTCAAGAGAGAGGTTATGACAGCTAATATCTTACTTGTTGTAGATAGCTCATCAAACACTGACGAGCTCATAGCGAGTCCGAGTCGGACAACTCCAATTGTAAAAAAAAAAAAATCATGAAAACACTTTTTAAATTAACCTTACGTGGTTGTCGGTTTCTGATTAGACTATTATTTATAGTGATTTATGCTAACTAGCCATTAGCTCATGAGAATGAATCTGATTTTCCAAACGGATGTTGTTCAAAGCGCCATCTACAACAGGTAAGATGCTAATTGTTCATAACCAGTTTACAAAACCCCAATTCAAAATATCTGAACTATCCCTTTAATGTCAATTATTTAACAGTATTTTGTATGCAATAAATAACTCATTTGTATGACTTATATTTTCCTTTAATGTTTAGACTAACATTAACCACACTGTTTAATTACTACACTGATTTCCTGTAAATATCAGCATGTTATTAAAAAACATTTTTTTGTTTCGACTTCTGCTGTAACTCATTTAACCTCCAAATAAAAACACTCAAACAAATTGAAAAGTTACAGTTTTATTTCTTCTCTCATAGTTTTTACATCTCAAAGCAAAAAAATTGCCTTTGCAGAAAAAAAATCATGTATGCTGCTTTCATAAAATGAGACAAAGCTAGTGTGTCGATGCAAAAGTAAAATATAAATACAAACAAATTCTTTTAAAAAGAAAAATCTCAGAGCTCTGACAAAATCTGAAAGCACTTCAGTCCTGACAACCAAGCTGACAAATCTTAAATATTAATGCTGTTGGTCCCTGTGAACTGGGACACGTAGGACGCCAGCGCCGGGTTGGTGGGCAGCACTTTGATGGGCAGATTCCAGCTGAACGTGTCCACGTCCACGTGCTCCGCCCCGGCCCAGACCGTGACCTCCGATTGGTTCTGCAGAACTGTGGGCGGCTCCATGGGCTCCCGGGCCGTGACGAACTCAAAGTGCAGGCGCCAGCGCAGGGTCACTGAGCGACGGAAAGCAACCACGTCAAGAGTTCAGTTCRGTTTTATGTGGGTAATATTACAAACATATGGAAATACTGGGTCTTTTTTTAATATAAAATTATAACAACTGGTGAAATACTTGAAAATATTAACATTAAATACATATTTTTTCTACTGGTTTAAATGTCTTCCTGGATACAAATAAGTAAAATTTAATTTGCTGGCTTTAACAATAATTACACACAAACCCCCCCCCCCMAAAAAAAAAAAAAACTAAAAAAAACAGATTGGATTTAATAAAAAAAAACTGTCAATTGGTTACACTCAACTGAACAGAGTAATGTTATTGCAAATACACTAAAAAAACAGATTGTTGGATTAACTTGACTAAGTTACGTCAACAATTTCCACTTAACTGAGTTAAGTGTAACGTAACTTCCACAATTTATTTTAATGTAAATTTGCAAGTGGCTTTACATTAACTCATCTCAGTTTAGTGGAAACTGTAGACATAACAGGGTTAGGTAAATCCAACAATCTGTGTTTTGAGTGCACACGGGAGGTTAATTCGCTCCCTCTGTTCATTTCCTATGGAACTTGTGTGATGAGGCGACAATCGCTTTCCCTCCTCCAGCCAAGCGACCGGAGAAACTCGTTCATGTGAATGTCCTGATGCATCTCAGGAACCCAGGTAGAAAAAATCAAAAAGGAAAAAATAAGTAGGGCCTCTGGATGGGTTCTTCTTTAGTGAAACGTTTCGTCTCTTGTCTAAGAGACTTCTTCAGTCTGATGAGTTTCAGGTGAACTCAGCCTTAAGAGCACTGCCTCCACATGGTGGACAAACAGGTTAGTCACATGCAAAAGAGAGCCATTGCCTAAAAATAGGCTTGATTAGCTCTATTGTTTTTAGAGGGTCATGTGCCCCATCACCTGATTTATTGGTTTGGATGCTGTGGTTCTTTGGTGCCTTGTCATGTGTATGTAGTGAATGCAGGCGGGGCTCAAAGTCCCCTTGTTTTTTTTTTTTTTTCCCTCTTTGTGTTGGTATCGTTGGGGCCCTGATTTACACCTTTTGCTCACAGGGGGCAGAGTCATACTTGCAATAACAGCGTTGTAGGAGGAGGACAACTGGACAAGAAGGCCTCCACCTCTGTTCATGCGAAATTTCGAGCTCGTTCATGCAGACGTGCACACGCGAGCTTACGACGCGACATATGAAAGTTGAAAATAGTTGAATTTTCATTGCATGGCGCTAAATCAATCAGCAAGGGTTTCACTGACTGACCAATGAGCAGAGAGTATGCTACAGTTAGCTACCACTTCCAACATTATTCCAACTGTCAAACTTTCCAATTTTATATAACGCTTCATGAAGTGAGGACTAAGATGCACATAAAAAGGCAGCCGWATGGGAATTTGTTGGTGCCAGAGTAAAGTGGTGCGGTAAGTTTTTTTTCGTATAAAGTCGTATCTTAGCGTGTATTTGTTTTTAAATGTAATCAGCATCGCAAGATTTGTTTAGTTTATATGGCGGTAGTGCAAACAATTCTTTTTTTGCCAACCACCAATAAACTTAAAAAGAAGTAGAACCACTGATCACTTTTATTGAAGACAAACGACACGAGAGCGCGATTCGTAACGCTGCCGTCGCTATCGTCGTCCCGCGTGTCGGGGTTCCCCCTGGTTGCGATGACAGCCGTTAATCGCTGTCGTTTGTCGCTCCCCGTGTGTCGAGCCCATTACTCAGTTCAGTTGAGTGGAACCAGTTGGCATAATTTTTTTAATTTAATTAAATTTATTACATCTATTTTTTGAGTGTAGAAACAGCTAAAAGTTGACACGGATATCATTTTTTATATTGCCTTAAAGTGTCTGTGACATGAAATTTTTGTAATAAACACGAATGCATTGTTGGAAGGATAACACTGATAACGTATTGCAAAACAAATTTCACATCGCTGAGATAAACAGTTGCTGAGATATTTGAAGAAAAAACAGGAAGTGATGTCAAAGGGGAATGTCTGAATGTAAACAGAGCGTTGTTACAACACAGACTGTAGAGAAGAATCTGATGTTTATTTAGATTATTTTTAGTCACTATCAATGAGAGATGAAGATGAGTTAAAGTTTAAATAATTTTGTTTTAATTAACAGAGACCAGTGAGTTTATTTTATTAATGAGTTCCCCTTTGATGTCACTTCCTGTTTCACTTTAGCTGAGCCAAATTCAAAAGAAAATAGGCCAATTATGTGACAAAATGGGTAAAATCATCTGTACTATGGCAATTTTCTTAAGTATAAATATGTTTTCTTTGWCTTTTTGTATTTGAATGATAGGCATGTCACAGGCACTTTAAAAATACAGAAATAAAAAATGCTGGCAGCTTCATTTTTGGGGACGTCATCTGTTCRTTAACAAACAAAACCAAACAGATTTTTCAGAGTTTGCAATCTGACCTATATCTGTGCTGAACCCTGGCGTGACGTTGAGGGGGATGGGAAGCGAGAAGTGGCTGGAGGCCGTGTGGAGGCAGGACTCCAGGTGTCGGCCGTGTCCGGTCACACTGATGGCCTGTCCTGGTCGCCGCTGGTACTGCTCCTGGATCTCCTCCTCRCTTTGAAGGCTCACCGAATACTGGAAAACAGACACGGTTCGTCAGGATAATGCACATGACACCACCTGTCAATCAAGCCAATGGGCTCGTCTGTGGGTCGCATAGGTTTAGTCGATTAATTGAGTTTTTACCGAGTGAAGGAACATGAAAACTGTTATGTTAGATGGACGCACTGTACAGGTAGCTAACGGTTGGTCTGAGCTGCAGCCACCCTAAAAAACTATAAAAACCATTTTCAGTTAAATGACATGTAGGACACGTTGCTTCATATAAACAAACGTCCAAAAGTTTCTGACCAATCACACGCTGTGAGCCGCATAGCTTTTCAAGACAGAGTTCTGACAATGTACATGACAGGGTGTCAGTGTGAGATATGTACCGGACACAAGTTACACAATTTTTGTCCCGCAAGACTGTAAAYAAGACAGGAAAATGGAAATAAAAATCAGCACACGTCAAACTCAAGGCTCGCGGGTCAAATGTGGGCCGCCATGCTGTTTTATGAGGCCTGTGAGATCTGCTAAACTGTATTCATGTCTTAAAATTAGCTAACGTTGACCATAAACTACATCCCTCATAATCCACGTGGATTTTTTTTAGCTGAAAATGACAGCCTCCCACCACTASGTGGAGGTGCACAGGGTAGAAAAGTAGCAGCCAGCCGATGAAATTCGCAGTGTAGAATCTCCTTTTCACTGCATWTTTTTGCTGGCTACTTTTGCTTTGGCCCAGTTGTACTGGGAAGTGGGAATTTCCCATATAMAAATCGTAAATTTACACTGGAATGCCCCCTCYGGTGGGAATTCCCTGTTGGAAAGTGGGAGAGTTCAAACATCAAGATGGCAGCTACTCACCACAACTCAACAGTGAGTAAAACTCTTACTTTTAATAGTATTTCTGTATTATTTATTTCACTTTTAGTCAGCTGTACATGTAGTACTTTTCAGTATTTATAAGCGCATGTTTTAAAATGCTGTTTCCATGCAGGAAATACCAGGTAGAGTTCAGTTATTGTTTGTTAGCCGTAGCTATAACGGACTATAGGAATGTGACTTTTTGGGTTTAGTCAAAGTTAATTACTAAGGGTCACCATGATGTTCATGTGGCTTACAACGAAAACGAGTTTGACACCCCTGGTTCGTTGCGTATGTGTGGAAGTTAATAACGTTACAAAACACACAGAGACACAATCCCACCTGTAAACAAGGAATGTCTCCTTCGGAGAAGTCGAAAGTGCCRACGATGTCCTCCCCAAGTCTGTAAACAGTCTTGAAGATGCAGAACTTCGCCACTTTCCCGCGCATGTTGGTGATATTAAACATGTCTGAAACAAAACAAAACAAAACAAAAMGAGGTTTAGAAATGTAAAACAAAAATCAAACAAAAAACTGTAGAAAAATGTAAAAATCCTGCAATTTGAAGTCAATTTGTACGGCCTTTTCATATTTTTGTGTCCAAACTTATACTTATGAAAAACGGAAGAGTTAGAAAACAGCTCCATTTTACTTATGTTTAATAAAAAGTCTATTTGTTACTCATCTACAATCTGAGACAGTGAGTTATACAGGTATATAAAAACAAACTTCAAGACAATAAAACATCAATTAACTGAAGGTTTGTATGAAAGATGAACRGATTCAAATTCTGGCAAAGAAAGAAGACATGAACTCACGGGGGCAGCGTCKGGAGGTGGTGACCATCAGCAGGTCCAGGGCTCTCTCCAGAGCTCGGGCGTCTCTGCGGCTCGCCTCCTCCTCCTCCAGAAATGGGTTTGAGGGAGAAACCTCTTCGTCCTGAGGAAACGGAGGCTCTGGCATGCCTATAATGGATTCAAACAATAAACGTCAGGTCACTTTCTGCCACTTAACTAGCCCTAAACGTAGGAACTGGTTAGTTTAACAMAAGGAAACCAAACGTCTAAAATCCATCCCACCCTGCAGAACCAGAACTCTGAAKGGGACCCGGAGCAGTTTGATGGGAGAATTGACTCTCTGACAGCCGATGGTCAGTTTGTAGACGTATTTCACCGCCTGACCGCGGAAACTGGGAGGCCCATCTATGGGCACCACCTCGCTGTACGAATCTATAAGAAAATAATGTGATGTCAGCACTTTAGCCACACATACAGACACAAAAACAAGGCATTTTGTTTTTATCGGGTCATAAGATGAAGCAAACAAATAAAAAACTACGTATAAACAAACATCTGTTTATACG